TATAATATAATATATTAAATATAATATAATATATTAATATAATATAATATTAATATAATATAATATTAATATAATATAAATATAGGAAGTGCGCTATTTGGGTATCGGAAGGAACTGTCCAATTGTCTGAAAAAGCAGCCAAAGTTCGAATGTGACGTGGTCCTGACTACCGGGTTCTTCGAAGATTTGCAACGAAAGCTGCAAGGCGGGATAGAAATCACTGTTGGAGTGATATGGCCTCAAGAATGGAGGCGGCGGGTCGATTAGGCGACAATAGGAAACAATAGGAAACTATTCTGCCTTCTTCAGCTATGACTCGGGGAATGACAGTGAAATGGTAAAAGATAACAATGGCGTATTGATTAAAAGTATTAAGGTTCGCCTCATAACCATCTGCGCCTAAGCCTAAGCCCCTGATATAGCTGATACGTTTTCTGAAGCATACACTTGCAATTGCGAGCCTCTAATGAAAAAAGAAGAAATAATTTCAGTTATCCATAAGCTCAAGGCCAATAAAGCTTCAGAAGATGGCCTTTGGGCTGAGTTTTTCAAATACTGTCCATTGTCCTTCATAACGCATCTTCAACAAATGTACTCTTTAATATGGAAAAAAGAAATATTATCAGATGATTGAAGCAAAGCAATTCAGTTCCCAATTTTCAAGAAAGATAATAGGACATGCTGCGACAATTATCGAAGAATCAGCGTACTAGAAGTCTCAGCAAAAATTTTCATTTCCCTGCTATTCAACAGACTTATGGATGTGTGGGACAGCGGGATGCGCCCTAATCAAGCTGGTTTCAGACCAGGTCGCGGTTGTTCTGACCAGATGTTCACGTTAAGAAGGAACATCGCTTCAGAGGAGCGTGACGGTGTTCCAGAGAAAATCATTAGACTCATAAAGGCATTTTATGAGCGCACGTCGGCGCAGTTCTGTGTATATGGGGAGATTCCTTCGAAATAAGAACAAATAAGAACAAGTGCTCATCAGGGTTGTGTCCTTTCCCCCACAATATTCAACTATGCGATAGACTGGATAATAGACACTGCTCGTCCACTCAAGAGATATCCGAATTAGTCCAGAGTATCGTATCACAGATCTTGAATACGCTGATAATGTAGCCCTTTTTGCTGATAGTTGTGATGAAATGCAAATAATGCTAAATAACATTTCAACAACTACAGTGAGAATTGGACTCATGGTCAATGTAAATTAAACGAAAGTCTTTTCGTCTTATGTGCAAGAAGCTGATAAAATACCTCTTTGTAAATTCATTGCCGGTTGAGGAAGTGCCCGATTTCAAATACCTGGGACCCACTCTAATACCAAATGGACAGGCAAAAGATGATATTATATCTCGGATCACGGCAGCTAGAAATGCGTTCTTCCGGTTGACGAAACCATTATGGAGTCGTGAAATCACCATAAAAACGAAAGTCTGCATCTATATCAGTGATTCGTTCGATCTTGCTATATGGCTTTGAGATACGGCCAATGAGGGTGGAGGATGTTAAAAAGTTATTTGGATTCGACAACTCTTTTCTAAGGTACCCTTTATGGGTCCCTCGAGCGGATAAAATATTGCATGATCGCATCCACCTTCGTTCAAATACCACTTGCATTAATAATGTTATCACAGAGCGTCGTCTTTGTTGATTTGGGCACGTTCTCCGTCGTCCACCACAGAAGTTGACGCATATTTCGTTATTTGCTAAACCGTGTGATGATTGGCATTAAAAGCGAGATGGGCCAATCAAGCCAATTAAGGCTGATGGGCTGATACGGTCAGAAAAGATTTTGGATTTTGGATATATAGGTGGACCACCAATATATGGACTTAGACGATAGAAAAAGGAATGGCTTCTATTACTGTCGACGATAGCATCAGATCGCTTGGAAGCGTCTTACTCTTATAGCCATTGGAGCCAGCCTAACCAGTTATGGTAAGAGCAGTTAGATGAAGAATTTAATATAATGTTAATACAATATAATATTAATATAATAATTTATAAATTTAAATGTAAATATATATAATATATAATGTAGATATAATCATAAATATAATATATATAATCTAATGTAATAAATGTGGTAAAATAAAAGCGTAATATAATAATAATAAATAGTAAAATAAAAAAAACAATTGTAAAAAATGGGAAATAATGAAAAAAAAATACTTCATTCATATAAATCGAATTTTGGCACCAGTTCTTTATTTTCAACATGAAAACAGATTTTTTTGGTTTTTTTCCTTACATAAGTTAAATTCAGTTCTTGTAATTTCAGTTGTTTAATAATTATTGAAAGTTATGTTAAAGTTATTCAATTAATTCATTTATCGATGATTTTCTTTTTCAGGTAAAAATCTAAATGTTCTTTTGCACCGATTCATTAAATATATTTATTCTAGAGGAATGAATCAAATTTTATAGCACTGATTAATTATATTATAAGTTTATCCAAGTTCAACAGTTTCTTCTCGGTTGCTTTTAATGATAGGTTTACTTTTGTAAAGGGAAAGAAATTAAGCACATGATAAGTTGAAGCTATTCGAATCAGATAAAAATTTAACTTATTAATCGAAATTATGCTCAATTATAAAGCTAACTAACTGGGCTTTCAAATTATTTTCTTTAGAAAAATGCATTTCTTCAGGATTTTATTTTATTCGAATTTCTTATTTTTCAGAAATCATCCAATGAGACATCACTGTTATATTCAACTAAATATAATATAACCATCCATTTTTTCTCAGCCCTAATCCAATTTTCAATTGATTCTTGCTAAACTCCCTGGATGTCTGTGGCCTTCAGCAGTCGACGATCGCGGGTCTTGGAGAGGTCGATAGACCTTAATATATTGAATAATTTTAAACCATATTTAAAATATTGCTGCAACACATAATCATCGTATTAATGGTCATAAATTAGTACTAATGTTTTAATGTATCACTATAATTTGAATT